ATGCTAATCCCAAGGGGGCACCCTCAAAATAAGGGGCCCTGGCAATTTCCTGCCTGTTCTGATTGCTCTGGATGTGAATATGTTCCTACTCTAAGATCTTGTGGTCACGAGCTACCATGTCATGTCCTCAACATGCTATGATGTTCCCACAAACGATCATTCTGTGGCCTTGTTGCCTGGTTACAACACAAAAGCCAGTAAGATGTTATCTAATATGTAACCTTTCAATTTTAAGAGAAATAAAAAGCACCAGCAAATTCCAGAAACTGGCTTCAGTCAATCCCAATGTTACCAATAAATAAAGTCTGATACTTACCAGAATGGGCCCCACAATATGAGCTGGATTTTCTATGACAAAAAAGAGGTATGTAGTAAGAAATCTACACATTTTCTTTCCATTTTAGTTTCCATTTTAACAGTAAACCCACCTTGTCCTGTAGCACCAGCCCTCCTTTCTGCAGATTCAACCCTGCTGTGGTGATGGTAGCTTCGTTTTCCCAACATTCCAAGCGGGCCATGACTTGGAAGAGAGGAAAGCAGGCGTCGTGGAGGCTGCACCTGTAGGCCAGGGGTGCGATGAGGCCGTTGAACATGAGTTGCTGGACGGGACTCTGAAATGACAGAAGATTCACTGTGATCTGAGAGGTACAACTCAGTGGAGACAAATCAGATCTCTTGTCGCTCACCAAGATACTGCAAGACGCTGGTCAGGGTGCTCCTGGGAGAAGATTTGGGCTTCAAAGGTCTCCCTGTCATGCCCTCGGACACCCGGATCATATCTATTTATCAACCAGCAGTACAGAACAGACAAACGGAGATAGAAGCAAGTCAAAGAGCATGAAAGAGACATTCACACTTAGACACCAACATGAGGCATTCTGAACAGGCTGGCTTGATGGATGTTGCAGCGTAACACCAACCCTGCGGTGACAAATCTTTCTGACCGGACAACGATTTTCATGGAAGCAGCAGGCAGAGTCAAATCTCATTTGTTACACTGTTCATTCTTTCAGCCCTAGTGAACATATTTCTTGCAGCTGAACTCCAGAACATTGATCGGACCACAATGAACCCATTAAAATCTCTCCAACTTTGCCTTAAAATTCATTAAAAGTCCAGAGGTGTCGGAAGTTGTTTAAACCTGTTCTCTTCAAGCAGTTCTTCTTGTTGTCTTGGCAAACCTGGAGAGAAACAGTCTTGAAGATGTACCGATATAACTTCAATTCATTACCTCTTCAACAATTTATATCGAATGTGGAAAAAAAGGAGTTGAATTGGGTGATGCATTATCTACTGACACAAAATCCATTCTTTAAATTGAATGAAACCTGTGCCTTTGGGGAAGTGCTGAGACGATGTTTTCTCCAACTTCAACGTGTAAAACAAACTGTATTCTTCACCTCCGAGTTGTATTAAACCCCCATAATTCATTGTCTCATTTGCACGTTACATTTCAACGTTGTAAACCTTATTATTGTCATGCATAGTCTCTGATGGGCAGGCAAGATGTTGAACATAACCTGGTCAGCCAGCATGTTAAATGAGGTTGGAAAGAGGAAAACAAATGCAATGTTGCATTCACGGCAGCTTTCTCATGAGTGTGTGCATGTCAACAAGTTATGAAGGCACGGCAGGAGCCGATGGAGCTCATGCTGTCAGAGATTTCACATGATTGCCGCTCGGCTCGGCCTGTCGGAGTGCGTGCAACAGAGTGATGGACAGGTACACAAGACACATGAAACTACAAGGACTCAGATAGGATGGTTTCAGCCATGGTTTTATTTGTGTTTTGGTTGCCCACAAGACATTCACACAAAGAAAAATAAAAGAGAGACAAACCAAACAGCATGCCCCCAACCCAGGTCCCTCGTGCGTCAGGACACAGATGTCAGAACAACTTCTTATGGCTGGGGATACATACAGACGTGTCTGGGGTGGAGACAGAGGTGGAATGGAAGCATAGAATGGAGTTTTCGCATGATGGGAGGGGACGATGCAGAAAAAAAAAAAAAGAAGCTGAAAACTTCTGATTGGACAAACGCAGAGCAAGTGACTCGCTCCCTTTCCCTGTTGATATGAGCTCTCCCTGTAAAACTGACCTATTTACAAGTGCCTGTCAAGAGGGAACTGCTCTCCTCTGAGCAAAGCCTGGCTACCATGGTCTGTAACTTCCTCTTTGGGTTTGATTGAAAGTGTGTTGCATATTTTGGGTTTGTAGTCTGATGTATTAGAAAAAAACCTTAAAAAGTATATGAGATCTAACTCAGCATTTAATTGATTAGCATTGGTGGTGTCCAAACTGGTTTCTGGAGGACCATTGCACTGCAGAGTTTAGCTTTAACACCGATTAGTTAAGGTCTTCTTTTAATCAAGATCGCCCCTGATGATTTACCTTAAAGACCAGGTAAACACAGTGGGGATGTGTAACCAGGTGAGTGATAAAACAATCCAATCCTCTATAGCACACTCTCTATAGTGTTTTCCTGGTACTGAAGTTTTAAAAACATCCATTTCCCACTAACATTTAAGCGCAGTTGAGTGCGTTCCTAAACACTGCTAATTTGCCATTGTATTCACCAGTACTCAACAGAAATGACTGTGATTGGCCGTGAGGGTCATCAGTTCAACCCTCAGATACACCGACACTGGAGCATTTTAAAGCCATGAAGATCAGTCGAGTCATCAGCAGATTGCTCGTTTGTGTTTGCATTTGGCAAAACATCGATGAAGTGAACTGATGACCTTCAAGGCCAATCACAGCAATTTCTGTTGAGCACTGGTCAACACAATGGCAAATCAGCTGTGTTTAAGAACGAGCGCTTAAATGTTAGCAGGAAATTTACTTTTTTTTATTTCAGTAGCGATTGGTCCTGAAATTCAGTATCGTGACAAGTCTAATATAGTGAAAGAATCGTTTATTAACTTGAGTTTGATAAATGGCATCTAAAACGTTTGTTTGGGAAAGATAACATTAGCAAACTGTAGCCATTTCTCTTAGCTTAGCTGAAAATGAGGTCTGAAGTCCCTTTTTTATTTTCACTATCAATTCAGAATGGACCGTTGGGTCACTCGAAAGGTGGAGAAATAATACATTTTTCACTTTCTTTTCGCAGATAAGATATACAGCCAGGCGAAACTTCCAGGTTTCTTCCCACCGCAGGATTTGATTTTGATTTTTGATTTTGAACTTGATTTTGCTTTAAAAATAGCGGCCAAGTGAAATCAGACTATTGAGTCCATAAGACTCCAAGTTGTCCTATTCATTGCTTTATATTTTAAAAGAGACAAAGTGTGGACTGTGGTTTATGGTAGCACAGTTAGCACATATTGGACCTTAGAATGTTTCTGTGCAACTATATTGGTAGGTAAGGGATTTAAGCCTTTCAGGAGCAAGGTTGGACATCCCTAATTAACACCAACCACATGCCAAATAATTAAATGGTAACCATTTGAGAACCTTTAAATTATTGGCATCATTGCAGATGATTTCTTTTGAACCTGCCTTGAGGGCCATTTCTTCTATTTGTGCCAACATAACACTTCCTAAGGCACAAAGTCCCAATCAATTACTTGACCATTGACCAACTCCATCAGCATTTTAAATTGGCAATTTGACAAATGACATACTAGTGTGCAAACTCTTGAACTTCAGGTTTTAAACATCAGCACTCATAAATAAGAGAACGACTTGTCTATCCCTGTTCCAACGGCATGACTTCATATTTCATAAATGATGCCTTCCAACATAATTAATTAGGCCATAAACTGTACCAATAATGAGACTGTCCATCATCCTTGCTTTACAGAAAAACACTCTTGAAGAGTTAGTTGTTAACCAACACTTCATCATTTAATTATTTACATGCATGCACTCTGAGCAGCTTGTCAATGTTAGCTACCGAATGATTGATTGGTTGCACACATAATAGCAATTCAATTAGCTATTCTACATAGTAGTTCATGAAATATTGTGTTGTACAGCAGTCTCCCTTAATGAAATAAAGACATATTCCTCTCTTAGAGACATTAATGCTCTCGTGGGTATAATCAGTGGTAAAACTCTTTAAGGCAGTTCAGTGTTAAAAAAAAGCAAAGCGCAACCAAATAAAAAGCTAAAATTATAGTTGAAGCATTAATACACAAACATTAACCAATTTTTTTTTAATTCTGGAGGCAAATTTTTATTGATTATTCTCCCTTGGACAGTTCTTTTACCACAAATGATGCCATGTACCATTACAAAAAAAAAGAATTTGAAAAAAATCCCACATCAACATTAGAGGGTGTTTATTCTGTGCAAAAGCAAGGAGATCCGTCTGCCTGTATCTATCCTGAGAACATCCCAACAACGAAACCTTCAACCTCTTGCCATTAAAAGGCCATTAGGCTTTTTGAGGAGTGCAAAACCTATTCACAAACTATTCAGATATAAAACATGTATGTTTTGACTTTAACACTTTAAAATCTTGTGCCAATCCAACTCTAAAACCAAATTCATGAATCAAGTTCTTTAAACATTCCCTAAATATGCCTATAAAACCCACTAAAACATATTCCTTCGTCTTACATAGTCGTGATAAAATAATATGAGTGCAGGAAACAATATTAAGGGAGGAAAATGTAAAACAGATTATTTTTTAAGAAGAAAAAAGTAAACCTACTGTCAATCTTGAATATCAGTATCACAGTGTGCAAAATATAGCTTTCATTATATGTACAGTCAAGTCTTTCTGAAGCTTTAATAAATATAAGGCTCAGACTATGATATGCAATTCAAGTATAATTACAATTTAAGGTGAAGCAAGCATAATAGGGCATTTGTGTGTATGTGTGTGTGTGTAGTGCGCACATAAAAAAGCTCTCTTCAACAAACTGAGAGAAGTGCTAAAAATGTTCTTGTCAAATTTAAACAGCCCTCATGACACCCTTAAACCAAGTCAATTAAATGTGGGGGGAAAGAAAGTGAATCTGAACTGAAAAGATGATTGAAACGCAAAATATGGAGGACAGGCAGTCTTTATTGGAAATGGGGTGGGGAGAATACAAAAAACAAAATAAAATATAATAGCAATAATTATAATAATAAAAACAGTACAAGACAGGAAGATGGAGGGAGGGGGGGGATGACAGCGAGATGTGGACAGGTGTGGTCGGGGAACAGAGCGGGTGGGACAATGTGGGATGTGTGTGTGTTTGTACGCGACGCTGAAGTTAGGAATTTAAAGAGCTCTTACACTCCGCCTTTATGGCACCACAGTTAATGGGCACAAAGGGGCGGCGCGCGGCCCGGCGCAGCCTGATGAGATCGCGGCACATGTGACGCGCCAGCTTGGTGAGGCGCGTTGCCTGCAGGAGGAACGCCTGCTTGGTCTTCATGGAGGATTTTGGGCTACCACTGTTCCGGATGGGGACCATGTGGGAAGACTGACGGGCACAGTGGCCACGAGAACGTGATTCCTGTGAGGAGACAGGTGAGGAAATGTTGGATTGATATTGGAAAAACAACAGCAAGAGTATCAGAACAGGGAAATACAAGGAGGACAATTTTCAGAAAGTACTTGTAAGGTAGCTTATATTCTTCTTAAAATATCTGAGAATGCATTACAGTTTTTCCCAATTGTTAAAGCACAAGACATTGCACTGTAATTATACTCTATAAATTTTTAATGCTATGTGCAGCACTGATCTTTTTAACTGAGCAGCTCACAATAAGTGTGTTTTTAGTGTCTTGGAGTGGCTTAATTCACAGATAACATAACTTGACAGTTTTAAATAAAAATAAATGCTGTAACAAAGACCAAAAAGTAAGTAATTTCAATATTATTTATTATTATTATTATTATTAATGGTAACAAATAACTTCAAAGTTAATAGTACTGATTTTCATAATTTCAATAACAATGAAAATTAATCAGCTTTACAGCAGAAAAAATCCTGAAATAGCTGATTCTGACTGGCTAATTACAGATGACGCTTTTCTTACATATTGTGTAAAAGCTCTGGGGCCTCATGCACGAAGACTTGCGTTGAATTTATACTAAAAACATTGCAAACAAAGCTGTAAATGTGCGTACGCAGTAAAAAATTCAGATGTATGGAACACTGCGTACGCGAATCCCACGCATATTCTCTTTGTATATCCGAATTAACATTAATTTGAGCGCACGTGCATGAGCACAAAACCCCTCCCTGCCTCCTCCCCCTAATAAATATGGTAATGACTGTACTTTGGCAAAACCAAAGGAAAAAGCAATGGCAAAATCAAGCAAAAAGAGAAACTTTGGACAGAATGTGAATTGGAGATGCTCATATCAGAGGTAGATTGGAGAAAAATGACGTTATTTGCAAGTTTGTCCTCCAGAATTAATAACGAAAGAAAAAAAATTGAATAGGGAGAGTTTAGCTGACGTGGTTAACGCAATGGGGTCTGAACACTGAAAGTGAATTAAAAAAAGAAATGGTCCCATGTAAAGGTGTAAAATTTTGTAGTGACTTTTTAGGCAAGTGCAAATAGAGTAATTCCCAATTCCCGCCTGTTTGACAGAGACAACAAAACTAAAGAGAGCGGACATCAGCAGCTTAAGTGGCGTAGCTCGTAAAGCACACGGCAACATGTTTTGACAATATCAATCATGAACCCGGTTTGAATCCAGCACCTGATGAACTCATTCTTCTTCTTTCCCCTACTAGATATCAGATTTTGCCTACTCTTCATCACGAGGAAGACAAGGAGGAATCATTAATAAGTGTGTGTGCAAATAATATGTGATGCTCAAATGCGCTTAACATAATACATTTATTGAATGGAAATGTTTCCGATTCACGTATGCAAATTCGTCTTCAGATTTCGCCTTTATAGCAATGTGCGTGCAGTCGATCGCTCCGATTACATTGGGAAAAGCGGCGATCGCTGTAAATTGCGCTTTAATGTTTGGATGGTCAACTGCATGGTATAGAAATCTTATATACCTGCTGAACATGCAGATGATCCCGTCCCATACAGCTGCCTCTGCATGGCTCAAGCATACTTTGTAGTGTGCAATTTAACATAATTGCCTCAAGGAGTCGCCAATGGAAAAAAACAAACCCACACACGAAATGCACGTCCGCCAGACATGAAGTTGGCATGGACCAATGCATACTCACGCTTATTTCATCGTTAGTAAATCCAAACGGGAGCGTGAAATTTGCCGTACGCAAAGCTTTTGTGCATAGGCAGCGTTGATACACGAGGTCCCTGGTGTTTTAGCAGTTGCCATGATCATCCATATTTATGTTTTGTTCTCTTCCTTGCGTTAGTTTTGTACACAATTTTTTTTAATAGAATGAAAAATTCTGAACAAAATGGCTGGTGAAATGATGTGATCCCTGTGCTAAAAGCACTTTAAAACTTTTTTGATAGACCACCTGCTTCTTTCAGCATTTTGTATATATGTTTGTAAATGTAGGCATCATTATTGTTTTACTGTTTACTCTCTTTCCAGGTTATCCTATAATGCCTTAAAATTAAGGTCTGGACACTGTGGAGAGCATTTCATGACTGATGCTGCATTCACACCAGACGCGGATGAGGGGTCAAGCTTGAGTGATTTAAAAGTTAAGTCGTGAAAAGACATCCAGTGGCGCGATTCACGTGATTGACGTGCCATAAATCGATCGTTTTATAAACAAATCACTTGAGTTGGAAGATCTGAACTTCAGCAGACATTCGCACCACGCGAATAACCAATCATGAGCTTGCCTTTGTAGGGGCATTATTATGACATAGTGCCTGTTGTTGGTGTCTCGAGGGGATATCCTCTTGCCAACACCGGACAACTGCTCAGCAAACTGGTTTCAGCTCAGTCTGAAGCACTGCTGAAAGCCTCCAGGATCCAGGCATAGTTTCTGAAGGAGTATAGGATCTCACAGAGCTGGGTACACCTCTGAAATATCTAGTGGACTTAGACACGGCGCCAAACAAATATATGCTGTTTTTCAGCCTTCCTAAAGCACATAAACAGGATTCAAACACATTTTTACTACAAAAATTCCATGACTTAATGTTTCATGTAAAGTCTACATACACATGGTAAATCATAAGAAACGTTTGAATTTATTACAGTATATCATAAAACACGCAATAGTTTAAATTTATTTTTATGTCTATTTAAAATAGATGATGCTTACACAGCACTAATAATGAGAGTGTTTTTGGCCAAGAAAAAAAATAAGAAAAAAGTAAAAACAACTAACCTCCATTCTAATACACAGACATTTAACAAACTAATTTAAGATTATCTTAATAGTTTGTTAAAGAAGTAATAGTAGGTAAAACTACTTCTAATAAAAAGCCACGATCACACTGCACTTTTCGCTCCATAAACTTCCATTCATAGGCATGTAAATGCGGCAGACAAAAAACTCAAGCATGTGCGATAAGTTTTGCATTTCATTGTATTCGAAAGTTCAAGCTTGGTGAGTTCTTACCACTGAAATCACATCAGGTGATTGTGTGAGACCAATAGAAAATATGAAATTTAACATATGGACCATTCGCTCACTTTTATTAATGTCTAATCATAATAGTAAACCCCGCCCCTTTTTGCAGCGCCGTATGCCAGAATTTTGCAAGCACAAGCTCTAGTGTTATTGCTTTATACAAAAATGTGTGCTAAAAGACTAAATGTAAATGTAATTTCCATGACTTTTCCAAAAACTTGTGGGTTTTTTTGTCTTTCCCAAAACTTTTCCAGGCCTGGAAAAATGGCATGACTTTTCCAGGTTTTCCATGACCGTATGAACCCTGCAAAAACGCACAGCTACCATCTCAATAAAATCCATGTTAGCCATTTACCAATGAAGCTAGAGTCACCAGGCAGAGAGAAGCCCTGGCCATGAGGCGAATCCGCATCTACTGTGAAGTGAATTTGATGCACAAAACTCAAAATGATCAAGCATCTATTTATGGGCAAATGGCGAAATTTATTTGCTCCTGCTGCATTCGGCATGAACACAGCATCAGTCTTATATATGATTTTGATATTTAGATGCAGAACAAAATTTAATCATTTTTCTTCATTATACCCTGGTTTAAACAATAAATCTGATAGTTGCCAAAAACTATTGCATATACACAGTAGCTTGCACAAATTTGGGGTAAAAAGATACTGTATAAACAGTTACTTACGTTAGGTGCAGGGCTTGGAGGTGTTTTTTCCTCTGCCCCCTCAGCTCTGCTTGGCATCTTCAAGCCACCGTACTTCTTCCAGTACATCCAACAGGAAACACACAGGCGACACTGCATATTAGGAGGACCCCAGGAGTACCACTGAGCAGACTGTACAGCTGTCAACAAACAACAACAAATAAATCCTTCAGAAACAAACTACAAATCTAATTACACCTAATGGGTCTCTTTTTTTTCCAACAAAATCTCCTACCAATTCAATTAATTCTGTATTACCAAGTATGTCTGACGAAACACTCAGCCTTTGTGAAAATATAATTTCAGACTGATAAGAAACATGGCATACAACACAATGAAAGGATTATGTGTAGAGAGGAATAATCATTTTCATGCGCCCAACTGAGAGTTCATTACTAAAAAGTAATATTGACCCAGACTAATCATTGCTGTTCACATAGATTGTGATGCGGCAGCTCTGATTGATCCGATTGAAAGATAAAAGGGTGAAAATGCAGTGTGCAGCCCCATTGATTACAAGAGGCGTGACACGTCCTCCGGGAGAAGCAGAGAATTGATTGGATGGCTGTGTTGACTGTAATTAGGTGAAGAGGGTCCTTTACTCACCAAAACAGCTCTCGCATGCGCGGCCCCCTCCAGCTGTGTGGAAACTGCCTGTGCCTGCTGCTGCACCGTTCACTGTTGCCATCTTGCCATTGCTGACAGAGATCTGGTTTGGGTTGGGTTTATTGCTGTGAGGCAAAAAGCAAATTACATTTACGTACACTATAAAAAAACAAATAACACACTCTTTTCCAACCATGGAAAAAAATAAATATCACCACATTTTCATTTGTTTTATGTATCAATTAAACGTAACATTTCCCATAATTTCCTTTACTTCTAAATAAAAAAAATATTAGCAAACATCTTGAAGATTTTAGTTGTAATTGCTGTGTAAATGCACTCATGCCACCTCCGGGATACAATAAACAGTAATGGCTCCTCTGACTTTTGTGCCACTATTGCAGTGTAAGATTGGCCTTATGCTCATTGACAAGCTAAAAAAAAAAAAAAATTCACTTTTTTTGGGTTCTGAACAGCAGTAAAAACTGGGAAATGAGTTTCTCTTAAAACCTGTTGTCAATTTTTTTTCCACAAATGTTTACTAAGGATTAAATTGAAGCTTTAAGCTAAAAGTAAGGGCCCGGTTGACCTTGTTGCTATGATTGATAATGTTAGCATAATTACTAACTGTGCACACAGTGACTGGCTGATAGAGGAGGGGAGGAGTTTCAGTCAGAGATTTATTCATGGAAACTTCGTAGGGTGCAATATTATGTTGCCATATTCAAACAAAGATTTTAAAATACAGACTAAGGTTGTACTTACACTCGTTACAGTTGCCTTAAACCATGCCAAAGAGCGATTGCACCCCTACCCTAGATGGCCTGCACTCACACTGCATTTTGCCTTTCGATCCTGAGCACGCGTACTTCATTGATGATGTGACTCTTCAGTTTAACAGGAAGAGAAGTGCTCTCGCTCAGCACAGTAGAGATTGCTTCAGTTATGTTGTTGTAGTCAATTGAGATGCAGTAACATGCAGTCTAATATTTTGCCAAACAGATCCACAACTTTTGATGCTTATAAGGGCGTACTCATACTATGTACAGTTGCCTTGAACCGGGCCAAAGCACGCTTGTTCCCCCTCCCGTCTCCTCCGGTGGCCCACACTCACATTACATTCGGGCCTGGGCACACTTACGTCATTGATGATGCACTGTTCAGTAGAGAAGCGCTCTCGCTCAGCACAGTGGAGATTTCTGTAGTTATATAGTTTTAGTCAATTAAGATGCAGTGACACACAGTCAAATATTTCGCCGAACAGATCCACCACTTTAGACACTTAAAGCAATTGTGCTGCAGGAATTAGGAGGTTTGCTAAAAAGTTACATTAACAGAACATAAATTTGCTTGAATGCTTTGGTCCTTTTTGTGCAATTTGAAATGTAAAACAATTTAGAAAACCCATTTCTTACCATATAAGAATCGCTCTATGATTAAGGTGAGAACTTCTTACAAGCCCATTGTGATCAAATGTGTTCTGTTCTATGCAGATTGCAGGCAACAACCATTTTATGACAGTTGGTGATTAAAGAGTCCTCTTCATTGTTCCTAATGTTTCACTGATTGAGGAGCTATTTTAGTGCTACAACACTTATGAAACACTCTTAGATTAACAGAGTCATTAAACTAGGACTGACACATCCATTATTTTAACAATGTTCTCTGAAATTTGCAAGTTAGAAGCTACTTTTAGCCTTAAAGGGCACCTATGGTGAAAAATCTACTTTTCAAGCTGTTTGGACAGGCGTGTGTAAGTATAGTGTACAGATCGTCATATTGAGGTGATTTAAACACACCCAGTCCTTTCCCCACCCCCCAATTTAACAACATAAAAACGGTGGACCAATTGGAGCGGTTTTCAAATCGACCGCAACTTGACGTAGGAGTGCAGTCCCCTCGCCCACCAATATTGATTAACAGGCGCGCATCACCATATCCTCAGTTTGTTGTTTCACGTCCGCCATTTTCAGCCTGAGTCATAGCGATGTCACTAAAGGAACACCCTTGCTCTTTTTTTCAGATGTAAGGCTCAACACAAGATCAGCATTCACCACATGATCACTGTTATCGGAATTATTGTTTGCAAGTTATTTTGTTTGTAGGTACGTTTGCAAACGTGTACTTTCATTACGTCTAGCTTACACTTCAGCTGTTTGCATTTCTCGCAGTCACAGAAGCTCCCTGTGATCTTAACTAGGTGCAGCTGGAAAGTGCGAGCAGGTTGCCTCATGTGCGTGTCCATCCATTGGAAATAAAACAACGAACTTGCCTGCAGATCGCACACTACAAGTGCCACGCAGCGCCATGCATTTTAGAATCCTAAACACAGGTTTCTATCAGGACACACACAACAGCGCTTTAAGTCAACGGCTGTTGGCGGCAGCGAGCCACAATTCGGGACACTTCATATTTCTGCCGCGCCACAGAGCATCATCTGAACATGTTTCATTTTAATAACATGTGAATGTGCGTGTCTGGTGTGCTGTGTCGTGGCTCTGAGCAGCGCATCTGGTGCCTCAGTCAAAGTTAATTCATTGTGCGTGGTTATTAGTTTTGGTGTACAAGCTCAGAACTTTAAACTAGCACACAGTTGGCTTTAAAACTATACAAAGACACAAATGATTTTGTACTCTCTGCTTGATCTGTGTCCGAGTCGTACATGTATAGCTGAATGCTTGTCCTCTCACTCATGTTGGTTCTCTCTGTCTGCCTGTCTGTTGCCAAACACAGAGCGGGGGAGCTCTTGGCTCCGCCCCCTTGTTACGTTGGGCGGGAAGTCGAAACTAATTTTCATGTGAAGATGTTTTTTGTCCATACTCACTATGTAGGGATGTAGACTTGCTTCAGTTTGCTCTCTGCTTCAGCTGCCTTCAGTCGTTTCTGTACATAATGATAAACATTCAGCACTAAGCAAGATGAAGGACGGTCAGAACAAAGAAATACAATTCCAGATAATTAAGGTTGCTTCAAAAAAAAAAACAATAACTTCTTCATTCATTTGAAAATGCTGCTCACCTGCTGAACGTATCTGTCTGTGGTTTTCCACATGTAATAATACTCAATGATGCTGGTCAGCGACTTCCAGGGAAGCTGAAATAAAGCAGGTCATTTAAAACGTCAGAAAGGCCGTGAGGCAATGTGGCACTTATCATACAGCTTTTTTGAGAGGATGGAATTTATGGGATATTTATTCTGAGCGTGGTATGTCTGGAATCACATGCAGACGTGCATGATTATTCATGAGCACCTGCTGAGCGCAACCAAACGTGCATGAAACCAGTCGCAAAGAATTTAAGAAATCTTAATATAAAACTGGCTGAGCCCCCACTTTTGGCCAGCATCTATGCGAGGATGAGCGGTGTATAAAAATGAACACAGAGGTGTTCAGTGCCGACAGCTGGTGTTAAGAAGAACATTTAGATTAACATCCTGAGGTGCTGCTATGTATTTTAGTGTCTGTTTCTCTGCTGCTTTTAAGGTTTCTGAACCCAGTATTGAATAAGGATGGGAATGGAAGTATGGATCTTCTCTATGAATCCGTTTGTACAGTATTTTAAACAGTTACGTTTAAGTTGTTAAATTCATTATTCAATATATACATACATGCATAGCATTTCTCTTTATTAAAACGGTCATCTTCCCCCAGGTGGTATGTTTTCAGCATATTTTTTGAAAAGAAAACTTATCCTGTAAACTTTATATAATATGTATATGGAAAGAGGAAAATAATAATTCAACATGTTACCCTTTTCCTCAGAAAACATATTTTCTAAAGGTGCTGTCATCTAGAAATTTTCCTCAGATGTTCGTAAAAACCAAGTAACTCCATATATGCAAAGAAAACAATGTTAATTCGTTTGCAAATTAAGTTATGTATAATAAAATGAAATGGAAAATTTAACATATGAAGAAAGGTAACTGTAGAAAGGCAGTGAAAGCCCAGACAGCAGATGAAATCTCTCAGTAGTTCTTAAGCAAGGAAAAATATCAGCTGCTTCAGTCCAAAATCTGCTCTACCAGGATGAAGAAGATGAAACCTGAGTGGACATTTAAGCAAGACAATAATCCAAAACACAGCCAAGGAAAATCTTAAATGGTTTCAGAAAGAGAGAAAAAAAAATCAAGTTGTAAAAAAGGCCAGCCAATCAGTCGACTTGAATTCAACAAAAAACACAAATTAAAAATCAGATTTGATAGACGACACCCACAGAACCATCAAGATTTTTGTTTAAGGCTTTGAAAAAAAAAAATCAATTTAAAAATTAAAAATAACACCTAAGCAATGTGTAACTTCTCCACATGTGAGAAGTCTTTAAACTGCCATCAATAAAAAATACTTTTTATGAAGTCTTAAATACATTTCAGTAGTTCAGTACTTTTTCTTGTGTAATTCCATTGTTATTACACAACTCGTTTTTCAGGTTTATGTTTGTTTTGTTATATTTTTATTGTTTGGGTTTTAACCAAAATTTGGTTCAATTCAATGTCTACAGCTCCTTCAGAATATATTTCGTGAAAAAAAAAATTATGACATATTGAATACTCCGTATAAAATAACGTCAGCTCACTGAGAAACAAATTATTATCGACAATAATATGGTTCTCAGGTGATAATTTAAGCTCAGATCAGATTAATCAGTTCCAAAATCAAGCTTATTGGACAAAAAATGATGAAAAGATTGAATACAACATTTCTCATCTAATTTTTTTCACATATCCAGGGCCAGGTTTAGTCCAATAAAAAATAAAAATAAAACTGGGAAAGTTGTTCCACTATGTAACAGCAAAGTCTAAGAGTTTTAGTCTGGTGTGATAACTAGCATTTTCTGAGAAAAAAAAATCCTCTCCCATGCCAATTTAATCCCAGTATAAATCGATCGCTACTGATGACTGCTTTAAGACAGAGTTGAGAAAGAAGAGCAGAAAAAAACAGTGCATCATTCACTGTGACCCATCCAGCCAAATCAATCTGATATTTGTGAACAAGTGGTTCTTATTGTGCTCAACAAAATAGCTCAGTAGAAGAGCTGTACTTTTTCATTTCATTTTGAGAAGTAAAGCCCCAGAGTATAGAAACCCCATTTCTCAGAGCAATAGAAAACAGCTTTTCCTCGTGTTCACAACCTAACACCAAAGCTCTCACTCCAGCCCCCATACAAATAAGTACCCTTGTCTCTGAATGAGCAGATCAAATGTGCTCAAGCTAGGTCAAGAAGAAACACGCTCCAAAACCAAATCCTTTCAGCTGCTCCAATCTTCCCATCGCTCAGCCTCAAATAATGTCTTCACTTCATCTAAGCTGCAGCTCCTCCATCCTGTCATTTGAAGGACTTTTGCTTTGCTGCTCTGAACGGTTTCATTTTGCTTGTTTTTTTTTTAAACAGCAGCACTTATCCTGTTTAAACTCTCCTTATTTTGCCCTTCAGCGCCTCACAAGACATCTTTTTCTTCTAGGGGTGAGCATATTTAGACATCTCATGATTTGATTTCATAATGATTCTCGGTTCACCTTTCAGCAACTCTTTTGTGGCTGTTAAGTAACAAAATAGCTCATGGCAAAGTCGTGAGCAAAGATTATAAATAAAAGCAATGAAATGTATCTTTCTTGACACAGTATGAACCCTAAAAAAATTCAGTTATTTCTTCCCATCATTCCATTTTTAATTTTTTAGAATTTATTTTAATAGTTACATGACTTTTAGTAATGCAGTCAAATAATTAATTTGAATAGTCGCATACAAAATAAAGGTTTGTATTTACATAACGTATACATTTGTACTGTGTATACTTAAATATATTGAAATACAATTATACATCAAACACAAAACACTGTGAATACACACACATACAGTCACGTTCGATTATTATTACCCCTGGCAAATTCTTAATGTTTTGTTCAAATGTAAACATAAGCTGAGAAATACTGTCTTCCACAATGATGCCTCTTGTACAGTCTTCTTATTTTTTCAGAGGACACCAGGTGTCATATCCTTTTCAAAACAAACTTGCTGGTTGAACAAAAGTAACTTTAAAGTAAAAATTTGCCATAAAAAGGCTTACACAACAGTTCAATCTGGTTTACGAATCTACAATTTTCTGCAATATCAAAACTCATACAGCCTCTTCAATGGTGTATAATACTCCGCCCATATGAGTGGCAAGCAAAGGATTTGACAAATATTGCAGCTGTTGGACAACATTTTGAGGCTTTTTTTAGGTGAGAATGTTGTTGTTTAGATAGCAATGACACAATTTATAAAAATAGTGTCTATTTTTCATATTTATAATTTTGGAGGGACAGCAAATCGGCATCCATTATGTCATACTGAGCAAAGACAGATGATGTTGTCCATCCACAGGTTGGTGACAGAGACCACATAATAATAGCAAAATAAGCCCTTAGAGGAGAAAAACGCAGTGTAAAACTACAAACTACAGCTGATAAGAAACTGGTAAATGACATTCTAAGTCGATCTCTCTCTCTTTTGTATGTTGTAGTGCTGTATTTATACTATAGTAATTGTAGTGTATTGAGTGTGAGATGGAACTTGCATAACAGGAATGTGTATTTTGTGTGTGTGTGTGTGTGTGTATATATATATATATATATATATATATAACTATTTCGTCAAACTGTTTTATAAAAGCAATATCTCAGTCTTGCAATGTGGCTATCTAAATGAAACTTATAAGAAACTTTAATTATAATTATCTTTTTATGATTTCTTAGCTTATTTTAAGTTCTTTTTTGACAAATTTCCTTGTATGACTATTTAAATTAAAACAGAAGAAAAAACAGATAATTTCTTAATAATTATATAATTTGAATAATAATTATAGCTATTTGTATGTTATGATTATTATTAATACAACTACATTGAGAAACACATTCTAATGGGCAATATAAATGGGCCTTATTTCAAGTTCAACTAATCTCTTGGAGAACTTTACAGATTTCTTTAAAAAATAATAAGGTTTGTTTTTTTAAATAATGCACTTTATAATGTAATGTGAAATTAATAAGTACTTAACTGTGTAAGAAAGTAATGTAATATGCAAGTTAAGATTAGGTACAGGGGTAGGTTTAGATAGAGTACGTAGTTATTACCCACTAGGTAATATCTATGAAAAGTGCACAGACGTGTACTAGTGACAATGATTGTAAGGTCAACTTAGGCTTACAATGCTTTTGAAAAACACCGCCCTCTACTGTAAAATAAAGTGCTAGCAAAATTACATCAGTGAATCAATGCAGTAAACTGTCACTTTCTGATTTTACTCACAAAATCTTGCCGTATATCGTTGAAGTCTTTGCCGTATTTCTCCAGGGCCTCTTCAAACAGATTGGCCTCTGACGAGCTCCACTCCTCCATCTCATCCCGGCACAGGACTGGCCCACCTTGAGGAACAAGAACGCTGAGAGCACTGGACAGGTCATAGCCATGCCGATGCAGTGTGTCCATAGCGTGAAACTTCAGAAAGCCAGACAGGAAAAGAATTAATCAGGGTTTTCACATCTCTGGTGGATATAGAGAGAGTGAGAGACAGATGGTGCTGATGGGACGGGTACCAGTGTGATGTCTCGTGAGGCTGCCGCGGCGCTCATGTGTAAGCTGGGCTGTCTGACGGAGCTGCTGCAGTCCAACGCCCGGGCAAACGTACCAACCGCTCTGCACACAGTTTCATCATGCAAATTTAATTATGCCATCGGTTTCCTCGCTGACACACTTTCCAGTGGCTTCTACACCAGAGATTCCCAACTCATGGGTCAAAGCCCGAAAAGGGGTCACCGGTCTGATCTGATGGGCTCACAAAAAGCATGGAAAACATGATGCATCCGTTTATTGCAAATGTATTTTTTGGACTGGGATGAGATGCATATTTCGTGGCTGGATGCAAATTCACAAACTCTCGAATTAATTGATTTGGAGTATATTTGAGTTTCTTTGGTAATAAGAATAGACATTGAGATCATTCAAACACTACTAACAGTATGTTTGCACAACACCCTTTACACCTTAAAGGCCGGGACACACCAAGCCGACAGTCAGCCGTTGGGCTTCATCGGGCTAATGGTCCAGCTAGTTGTAAACAATACAGCAGATCCTGTTCTTGCTACTTGGTATGTGGCTGTTTGTTATAAAAAAAAAAAAAACAAGGTTTGTTTGAGCTTAGGACAACCATGGTTTACTGCTGCGCACCATCACTGTATTAATAAAACAGGACTCAACAATAAGGACTGCCCAATGGCCGAGGCCGGAATGAGATGCTCTGGACAGGATCATTACTGGCCTGATCCGGTCATCAGTTTAGCAAGTCAGCCACCTTTTGTTTTGCAATAAAATACTTTTAAAGATTCGTTAACATTTTAAAATATTTAAATTCTAGATTCACATGTTATTTTTGACTCATTATTTAAATTATGTGGCCAAAAAATAGCTACTATCTTTTTTTATTTTTTTTTATTTTTATTTTGTGGAGTCCAATTTTGTGCAAAGAATGTAAAAATCTGAACCACTGGATCAATTGGACCAGTAGAAAAAATCTTTAGCATTGAACCCTGATTATAGTGTCATGTCTTGGCTCTGTATTTAACAACTGTACCTCCAGTTTTGTTATTCCCCTGGTCTGTTGCACACACTGGTGATGAGTGTATACCAATAGCGTTAAGCAATGAGTAGTAATGGGAAGTTTGGGTCATTTTACAAACTCTGACCTTTGATTCCAGTTTATCGAGATAAACAAATCTTTTTCGAGTGATATCTATCAATTTGCCAAAATGGTGCAGTGGGTAGAGCTATTGCCTCACAGCAAAAAGGTCGCTGGTTTGAACCTTGGCTGGGTCAGTTGGCATTTCTGTATGGAGTTTGCATGTTCTCCCTGTATTCCCGTGGGTTTCCAAGTACAAAGACATGCGCTATAGGTGAATTTGGAAAGCTAAATTGTCTGTAGTGGGTGTGAATGAGTGTTAATGGGAGTTTCCCAGTACTGGGTTGCAGCTGAAAGGGCATCCACTGCATAATCCGTGCTGGAGAAGTTGACGATTTATCCCGCTGTGGCAACCCCTGATTAATAAAGGAACTAAGCCAAAAATAAAATGAATGAATGAATGTTACGTGTTGCTTCATAACACGTTGACCACACCACAAAGTCATAATAGAATGCTATGAGAAAGGAAAATAACTATTAATTGTTTATCTTGGTCTTTTGTCTTTTAGCTCGGCTTACCTCTTCTGACATGTCTTTAAATTTGAGTCGTTCGTTCACGTGACATAGACAGTCCCATATAAGCTTTACCAAAGCACAGTTTGTGCTAAAAGGACCCATGATTACTTCATCTTTTGAGTCTTTGGTGTTTTTGAGGCGTTCATTCATCAATTGAAAGCAAGTGAAGATGTGACTCAAAACTGAGGACTCAATCTCAGATTAAATCTTTTTCCAGCTCTGACTGCATATGATTGGCTTCTGTCTATCACATGATGAAGAAAGGACTCAAACCCTATAGAAGATTCGAAAAAGGAACTTATCTACTACCCCACCTGCACAAATGTGCACATCCGCAAATGAATGAATAACTACATAAAGGGACTCATCATTCTCGAGTCGATCAATTGTTTAAAAACAACCCATCACCACTCCACCATTTTGAACCGTACCACTTCAATATTACTATAATTCAAATAAAGGTAGGGATCAGAATGTAGGGGAACGCAACTGTTTTTGATGTCAATAAATATAGGTGATTCTAACCTTGGGTTCAAATTTGGGTTAAATCCCAATATGACATCCAAGCCATCTAGCCAAAGAAGTCCAAATATTTCAATGCATCTAAAGCTCAAATTCAATCTCAAATTTACATATGATTAGAGCTTCATGCATCTCCTCTACTCCTTTCCATATGAAATGAATGCCTTCCAGTCTGTCGCTTGTCATTTGTCAGAGATATTGGAAAGGCGGATACAAGCTTTCAAATCAATTCAATTTGAGTACACTTCAGTTATCTCGCCCATTTTGCTCCACAGAGTGGGAAAATATATTTTTCCTAAAGCCATATCAATTACCTTTGTATAGTAGACCTATAGAAACCAAACAAGTATGAGGCAAGTAAATGGGTTTAGAGATAAGCAGCAACAAATCATCAACATATAGTTTATGCTGACAAAATACAAAAATACACTTCAATGTCTGATTAAAGAAATGGATCAACCCAACGTGAAAATTCTGTCATCATTTACTCATCTTCCACTTCTTCTGTTGAACACAAAGATGATATACTGAGGAACATTGGGAGAAAAACACATTGATTTCCATAGCATTTTTTGTTCCAACTATGGATCTCAATGGCTGCTTTTTTCCAAAATCATTCAGAATATCTTGCCTTTCTCAACAGTTTAGAGTTAATTGAGAGGAAATTTCAAATTTTTGTGGAATATCCCTTTAAAGAGACATTCTCAAGGCATAAAAACAGTTATAATGCAGAGCAATGTATATTTGGTGTATTAAATCTACAGAAAAATAAAATATATAGAAAGCTCCAAAGACATACCGGGCAACCACAAGAAACTGGTCGATCTGTTTGTTGGTCAGCGGACACTCTGGATCCCACATCTTCATCTCCAGTTTGGACTGGTCTCTGTCATCAGCTTCTCCTAAAGAAACATTTAAGTTTATCAGAGCTGGCTTTGTAAAAACCAGTGAGTAAAATCTGCCATTCTCCACATTTCGGTCAAGACAACCTAGGCAACTTGTTCCCGTGGCAACGATGGGAATTAACACGTAAATCAAACCTGGCGTAAGGTAATGATGGAAGACAGCCTGCTTAGCAAGATCATGAAGAACGATGATGATGACAGGTATTATCATCATCAGCCCACCCGGCTGTCATTTGAATGAAGAGCAAAGCACTTAATCCAGCCTAGCATAAATGCTGAACAGATAACATGCTAAATAAGAAGGTCAAAATCCATCGGTTCAAATCAAACCTCTTTCTTAACCATATAAAGAGATAAGTCACACAAACCTGTTTGAATATCTTCTGTTGAACAAATAAAGGACATATTCTGCTTAAATAGTAGTTTGGTTCCTACTACGGATGTTGATGGCTGCTGGTTTCCAACAATGTTTTGTGTTCAACAGAAGCAGGAACTCTTTAAAGGGTCAGGAAACACCAAAACACATTTTTGAGATGTTGACAGTCATACAGTATATGTATCCCACGCTGCTAAAAACACTATTATTTCACAAAAATAATAAAATAAAAAAAAATGTAAAAATAAAAAGTTAAAATTGTTTGTTTTTGCATTGTTTCGAAAAAATTTGTTCTTCCAGTTGGAAAATAAATTTAGGCTACGTCACGATGATGACATCATTGTGTAAATTCCAGCGAGAAGACTGCATGTCTGTACCGGCCGGTACAACATGACGTCTTTGGAGTTACCAGCATTAATTCATGAGAAAGACTTGGTTCGAACTAATCAGTGCGCTCTATTGTGATTAAGGTACAACTTTATTAATACTCATAATATAGCTTTGAAGACTGTTTTTACCAGTTACAGTGTTTAGAAAGCTGAGAGACAACGCGTTGTGTTGCCAACCGTAATTAAAACAAGTGGAAGAAGAAGACTTGTCGAAGTGTCATAATGAAGTTTTTGTTTCCATTTTCCAGAAATGTAAGCACTGCTGCGTGTGGGCCTACATTTGACTGCAGATTACAGCAATAGTATCTGGATGCAGCCTTTATGATGCAAGCTGAGACTGCATCACTCAGCGATGCAATAACAGACACAATGCACTCAAATGGAGCTAGTGACGTCACTGTGACGGGTTGGGTTAGGGGTGGTGTTAGGTGAGCCCATTAAAAAGCATTGGATGCAGCCCAGATTGCATTGCACCAGGTCTGCAGCCAGACCCCTCTCGATTACAGTAGTCTGCAAACACGCGACAAAAATGTGTTTGTAAGGAACATTTTTTAGCCGAGAGCTTTTGCATCTGGAAATGGTGAAATCGGATTTGCCACTCTTCTTTTAAAAAAAAGACACGGTTCCAGTTTGTGTAGATTAGGGATGCAACGATTAATCGATTTCACTATTAACCAAGCTGTAATTAGTCACAGTTAACGAGAATGAGCATTTAAAATGACACAAACCGAAACCAAAACTTTTAAAGAGCCGCACAAGTAAGACTTTTCTTCCTTTCTTTTGTCCATTCTTTTTGTTTATTAAACTGACATGCATATAAAAACAATAGTGCAAAATAAACATTTCTTACTGCAATGCTTCATTTTTTATGCAAACCATAGATTTATTTTTCATAAAGTAGCAGTAGGACTTTTTATAGCAATTAACCCTCATTCAAGGTAAAATGATGATGAGAAATGTTATTCATTGTTAATATTATTGTCATCTTCGTCATCATTAATATTTTATAATTATTAGACATTCACTTTCAAGTCATCACAGCATTAGTTAGATAGTGGTTTCAGTTTTTTGTTAGTCCTGATCAAGTCTCAATTGACAAGTTGCAGAGGTGAATTTTTTTCTGGTGCTTCAACATTTTTATAGTTGGGAGCACCAGCAATTTCAAGCCCTGCATTAGGCAAATACTGTTTTTTTATTTATTCTTATTTTTATTTATTTATTGTTCTGTCATTTATTTACAGTGTAAAATTATTTCTGTTTAAATGTCAAAAACATTCCCTTATTTTTTAGCACAAAGAGAGAAATTTACTTTTGTTAGTTTTTTATATTATTTTGTGCTTTATTGATCAGTTACTGAGCGGCAATAAATAACACTGTAAAATATAAGAAGTTTTCATCTTATTCTAAACTAGTGGAATTGAAAATAATGATTGCATGATATTTGTGATAACCGTGAAACTGTGATTATTTCTCAGACTATAATCGTACAACCAAAATCTATAATCGTTGCATCCTAGTGTTGATTGTCCTGTCTCTACAGATTTGGTAATAGTGTTATCGATGTTCTTTATGTTTTAGGTGGCAAAATTAGTATCATCAGCAGGACTCTTTCAGTTTTTAAAGACATACCTTAGTCAAAATGATTTAGTTACTAAGTTTACAGTAATATCACTACAATGTTTAGGACAAAGATTTGCTGTAAATGCTGCTTTCTGAATGTAAACATGTAAACACCTTAATCAAACTATTTTCGCTGTGTATGATTTTTTGCCGCACTCTGTGACAGGATAGTCTATACACACATGGCTGTTTGACGGTAGGCTTGGGGGGTACTACGGCATTATGGTATACCGCGGGATCTAAAAATAGCAACGGTGTCAGTTTCAATACCATTATACCGTCATAAAATATTCTTTATTAATGCCTACAAAAACGTATGTGTGGTTGTCATCACGGGACAGTGTGGAGGAGAGAGGGAGGGGGAGAGAGGGAGAGGGAGAGTGGTGACGTGACGAGTCGTGCTCCAAAGTTTCCTGCAGTTTGGCAGTATTTCCGGTTTCGACTGAACAGAAGGAAGACGTGGTTAATATGAACGAGAGGTCTGCATTAGAGCTGAAGATCTTTGCCCGAACCCGGCGAGACCAGAAAAAAAATCAAAATCCCTGCATTAAAATCCATCCCTGCAAAGGTGAAACAAATGATGACGATGTAGTAAAAAAAACCTAATTTTGTTGGCGGTCAAGCCAGTCACTAGTTCAGAAGGAGCGGTCATTCCAGTCAGGTATTTCGGCGGTCGCTAATACACTGCGTATTACGGTAGAGCCCTAAACCGCAAGCTGACAGGTAAAAAGACGAGGCCACTCGCTACACTGAAACTGCTGTCATGGAAAATTAATTGGATGTTCCTGACTGGTAGAAGATGAACAAACAATCCAACCCAAAACCTGCAAAATCAGCCAGATCAGAACTCTGCATCTCGGCCTGTAGCTGCAGGAAAGGGTGTTCAGTTCTGCTGGACGCACCATGAGTGCAAGACTGCGCTAAAGCCAGTGGATTTAATAATGTTCCTCCACAAACAAACACACGTAGCCTAATCTTGGTGAGTAAAGGGTTTTTAAATTATAAATAAATATTAATTAAACCATATAATCATAATGTAGACAGAGTATACAGGCTAATGGTGGCATTATTCTTTTAATACTCAGCTTCACCGCCGCCTTAATGCCAGATTGTGAAGAGAAGTGGAGACACAAATCTTGCAGAGCCTTTATCATAATTTCGTTATTGCCAAAATACCCGTCATCATTTAGAGTTTATTTTAATTTGACTTGTTAATCAAGATTTCTTTTCATTGGTGTGTTGGCCAATTTAAAGGCTAAGTGTATGTACCTAGACCTATTTACAGTGTTGAGATGTTACGATGTTACAGAGGACTTATTTTATTTCTTTGTTCCAACTTTCAAGTGGCCTATAGTCTACGTTTGTTGCAAATAGATTATGTTAAAACATATAAATGACTCATTATTGAAAAAATGCATTACAGCTGTGTGCATGAGCACATTTGAATAATGTCGGGCTGTAAACGGGTTCAGGCTTTATAAAGCTGTCAATCCAAATGTACCTGTCGGACGCGGGACTTATCGGGTATAATCTTTATGGCCCGATTACAGCTCTCTGCATTCCCGCTGCAGTACCGCGGGAGCCGGCCAGATTTCCAACGGTTTGGGAGCAAATTTCTGAATAAATTGCGGGAGAGATGTGTGTGTGTTTGTGTAAGAGAGAGAGAGAGAGAGAGAGAGAGATGTTGTGCGTCGCTTGGTGCTCTCTCTCTCTCTCTCTTTCTGACCGCGAGCCTAATGGCCCATTTCCACTGATTGGTATGGTACGGTACGCTTTTATGGCCGTTTCCACTGTCAAAAGACGTACCAAACCAAACCGTACCGTACCACTTTTTCGGGACCCTTTCGAAAGGGTCCCAAACTGCAGCTGGAGCTACACGCGCAGCTGAACACTATTGGTTTACAGAGATACGTCATTCGTAGACTCAACAAGCCAGAATGTAAACAAAGGACCCGCCATGTTTGAAATACACAGCGAGAGATTACAGCGGAATTATAAATACATATGCAGCCATGGTCGATCCTGCAAACAAACCCTGTCGTCGTCATGATAAACAGCCACAAAGCCATGGAGAAGAGCAGATTCTCCCTGTGCCGCGTAGTTTTTAACGAGCCAGTCTGAAGCCCGAGTGGTTTCGCTTTCTTTCTTGCGCTCGCAAACTTCTTGATCTGATAATAATAACATGCACTTGATTATTGACAAGCTTTGGAAACACGATCCTGTGAGAAGCTGACAAACGTGAGAATGACACATTCAGAAAGAAAAGGACAAGCGCGAGAGTGAAGCGCGGGAAAAAAGGCGAAGCGAAGGAGCACGTTATTTCTTCAGCAAACGTGAACAAACTGCCTTGTTTTAATCTTTATTATCACCTTTTGGACTAATATGAACTGGGAATGATGGAATGACTCTCTAACAGAGGCTTCATGTGCTGCAGACACAGATGAGAGGTTTACTCAGACTGTAGGCTATACTTTGTGTTGTTTTGAACCTAATTAACAATGAAATGTCTGCTTTGTGTAGTTCTTCCGTAGTTGGTAACATATCGGAGACTGTAAGGGTCTGTATGTGTTCATATATGTTCATTTATTTATGCATTTAATATAATTATAGAC